TGATATATCATTGTATTCAAATTTAATTCCATCCATTACAGTAACCCACTAGTAACCTACTGTACAGCAGARCGACATCCACGACTTACCCGCCTTTTTATAATTATAATTAATAATTCACTTTGTGCGTTTTTCAAATACAAAATAAAAAATTTGCTGCATATTTTTTGACTGCATAATTCGATGATTTTAAACGCAACAAGTCCTGAACCCTAGTTATAATAATTAATAACTGACTATTATAAGTGTTGTTGATAATAAGTTTGTATGTGAGCTGATTGGCTGATACAACACATAACACCCGGTGTGCCGAATTTATCCGATCTGGCCCTGTAGATATGTGATTTTATGTGCGTGATGAACATTTAAATATTTTACACATTTTGAAAATATAACATGTTAATACTACTAACATAATAATGCATTATTATAACTTATAATTTTTGATAATTTTTAGTTAATTAATGCTTATAGAAAAATTGATTGATATTTGGAAAACCAGTAATTGAGTTATTATGGTTTAATAATAAATAGTTCTTATATACTTTTTTAATCGTATTTGATTACTTCTTAAATACCTATATGTTAGTATATTACAAAAAAATTAACGTCACTAACACACCAGTATACTTGGTGAAGCAAGAGACCCACCCATATGCGCCAGTTGCGATAGGTACACTCCTATCAATCAAATACATTGTATCCGAATGCCGTTTCTATGAAACGGACAAACGAGAAGCTGGGCTATTAAATATCATGTCGGAAGCTCTCCATCCAGATACCATAAGTCATATGATGACCTTTTTAATTGAAACCAATCTTATAGATAGTTTGTAATCTGTTCTTGTTTATATTATATGTAAATATTGTAAATACTGTATATCCTTAAGAGTTSTTAACCTTAAACTCTTTGTACGCCAATGGCCATCATAAACGTCGAGGCTTATTTATTTAAATAAAAAAAAATTAAAAAGTATTTTTACAAGTAAAGTTGTATASATTTTTACAAATACCTATATAGTGTTGTAGAGGACAAGACAAATCAACATGTTAGAAAATCTATTCAAGGTTTACGGCCGGCCAAACACTTTCAGTCAATTATAATCATATTTTATTTCTTCAAAACTAGAAAAAAATTTAAAAATCAAAAAATTAGTGAAAATAAAATGTTGAAACGTCAATATTTTCAAAAAAATAAACTCTACAAAATGGCTATCTTTAATTTTTTTTGGAAATAATTAAATAAAAAAAAAATATTTTTTTACTTTTTTACCAAAATATTAAAATAAATTAAAAAATGAAATAAATGTAGTTCCTATCCCTGTGTGTCTTATTACAAAACCAGAAGTTTGATATCTCCATTATTCCATTATTCGTGAGATATCGTAATGGGTAAATCCTTGCGGGACACTCTGTATACATATACATATGATTTGTATAGAACTACTAGAACGTCATATCAATGTATTAATGATTAATATGCTGCAGCAACGGACGCGGACGATTGTTTGCCCAGAAAGTTCGCGTACGGCACGGTGTGCGTGTGCAACTCGACGTACTGCGATCGAACTCCGGAACCGGAAATACTAACGGCCGGCAAGTACGCGCTGTACACGTCTTCGAACGCCGGAAATCGGATGCGCAGGAGCAGCGGGTCTTTTGTGCCGTCGCTCGACTCACAATGGTCCGGCGAAGAGATCGACKTGGATGCGACTACCACTTACCAAACCATTCATGGTTTCGGCGGTGCGTTCACAGACTCGGCTGGTATCAATGTCATGGCGTTGAGCCCGAACACCCAACTCAATCTCCTCAAGTAAGTTACGTATATTTTATGAGTGAAATGTGTTAGAAAAATTAAGTAAAATATATGTTACAAGTGGTAATTTAGAAGTTAGTTTTTGATGGTTATTTATGGTCAACTCATTATATATAATAACCGGTTAGGTGTATCCTAATAATCGATTTWGAAACATTTGGTTTATTTCGGAGTTTTTAGGTATGACAACCAACGCGGATGTAACCATCATAATTCATAACTCGTATTAAAAATATAAAATAGGCGGTTATAAAAAATATGAGTGTAATTTAACAAATATTTTTCTGCAATATTGTCTGAAAACTTTGATTTATGAAGTAACCTGCGACAAATTTCGATATTCACTAAATGCATGTRTACAATTTATCAACAAACTGTTTTAAGCCCTTAATGTAATTCATTGTGGAAACTTAGTGGAATTTCTTGAACATCATAGTTAGTTTCTAATAAATGATAACTAATAAAATTGACATAATTGGTGCTTTAAAAAAAAAAAAAAACAATTTTTTAAATTTGTATAATAATATTTTATAGGTAACAGTAATTAGAAGATGTGGTTTCTAAATTTAATTGTTTTACGGTCTGTCATTTTCTTCCACAGGTCTTATTTTGCTGACGATGGTATCAAGTACAACATTGGTCGAGTACCGATCGGCGGTACCGATTTTTCGACGCGCAAGTACACGTACGCCGACAGCAAAGGCATTCCAGACCTGAACAATTTTGACCTAGCCCCCGAAGACGCAGAATACAAGGTATATTAATTTGGGCGTAAAACGTTTTTACCAAAAGTGAACCTTTCCCYTTTCCGCCAAATGAAATCCACCGAATTTTACCACGTTTTTACTAAAACGATTTGTAAATATATACATATATATATATATATTACGCTTATTACTTATATTAAAACATTTAATACAGCAGTAAGTTTATTTAACATACTAATACTGGGTTGAAAAAATTATAGATTATTGCATAGTTTAACTATGTATATTGTATATAATTTTTTTTTTAATTGTAGAAAACCTATGTATATATATATATTAAATATTATATAATCAATGTATATTGTACGTTTATCGTATTTTATTGTAATGATTGTATGTCAAATAAAATTATTACTGTGTTATAAATTTTAATATATTATTATTTTGTTAAAAACGTGGTCAATATCTTATTTGATGAAAACGGTTATTGATAGAATAGGGAAAGGTCCGCTTATTTTGGTATAAACAGGCATTGCCCATTAATTTATTGGACCCTATATATATATACATTATACCTAATGTATATGAACTACATTATAATAATGCATCTGATATATAAATAATAATATACCAGCTATAGTTATATTGTCAAATTATAATAATTCACATGTTAAATCATATAATACTGTCAAAAAAAAAAAAAATCAAGAAGTTGAGTGGGCAGAGGCATATTTTGAATGTCAACGCTTTAGGTAAAGCTTTGATGCCATCCATATTACTCTTGTTGTAGGCAAATTTACTTATGAATTAGCAATTATTTGGAAACAAAAAGTTTGCAATAACTTTAAAAAAACTTAGCATATGATACATACATGTCAAATCTTCTGGTTTATTCCTTATAAACAACTTTCTAATTAGCAATTTTGAAACTTTAGAAATAATATAAGAACATTTTTATAAAATAATTTGTTTGTTTAATTTTATAGAAACTACACAATTAGTTGTATTATTTTACTACTCAATGAGTATAAGCTTTTGTTTTTATAATAATATAATATTGAAATCAACCATTGTACAAAATAATAATGGACGGAAATATATAGCTAATAAACAAMTATATACCAAAATAAGAGTAGGTTAAACACTTATAAGTTATAATATTATGGTAATTACTAATAATTAGTAATAAACTATAGGTTTATATATAAACTTAAATACCTAGAGAATTTTGATTCTCGAATGTTACAACAGCTGCATTATGATGTTGTTGCGATAATCATACTTTCATATCAATCATATATCACTGTAGATTATATGAAATAATTTTAGATTATCTTCGAGACCACATAAATAATATTTTATAACACAACACCAAAAATGAAATAAAACYTTGTAAATGAAATAATATTTATGTTTACATTGTTAAAATTAAGATAGTATTAAKTTGAATAAGTATGATGAATTTCAATAATACCTATGTGTCCTATGTCCAGATACCTCTGATAAAGACCGCAATGAGTATGGCATCGGATGAAATCAAATTGATCGGGTCAGCGTGGTCGGCCCCGCCATGGATGAAAACCAACAACGACTATTCCGGCATAGGTTTYCTCAAGCCATCATTCATGGATGCGTGGGCAGAATACCATCTGAAGTAAATAAGAATTTATTTATTATCATATTGTTTAATTATCGCACATCATCGTATTTCCTACGTATAATCGTATAGATTCGTATACAATCGTGATTGTCGTACACAAATTTAGTTATTCAAAAAGTTCCGTTTAGTGTGATGATGATCGGTTGTAAAGCCTATCAGTCTATATGGTATATATTATAACATATAGGTATAGGTACAGTCATCACATCTTGTCTTATATTCTCAAGAGGAGTCTTATTCTAACCATATCAAGAATCGCAGACATTATAATATGTCAATATGATAACTATTAACTTGTATAATCTGGTATCCGGACATTT